TTTTTTTTTTAATTTTTTGAATTATCAGCAGTTCGTGGTCCACTTAGTTCAAGTAATTAGCTTTTTTTGGTGGCTGGGAGTTTTTTAATTGGTCAGTAATAAGACAATATTTGATATTTAAGAAATGTATTCAAAATTGATGGCTTTTTAACACATAGAAGTCCATTTAACCTAACCTGTGAAAGGTACATTCATTACATTAAATGCGCTSCAAATAGATTGATCAGAGTTTTGAAATAACTCAACGATTCTTCCAGGAAAGTTGCTCTAACTCACGCGATTTTTTTCTGCAAGAAATGAAACTTTTCCAAATTATTCTGTCTTGTTTCCCTCTCTTTTTTAAAATGATTTTAGCACAAGATTCTTCTTATCCAATTCGAGATTCCGTAGGAGCTGTGATCAGCAAGACAGACATGGCACTCAAAGGACACGTTAGAAAAACCCTGGAGAAAACCACCTTTATTCAGTGTAGTCTTCGCTGTCTAAAGGAAGATTGGTGTGCCTCGGTCAATTTTGAAATCCGAAAGAGAATGGGAAAATGTGAGTTGAATGACTATGAAGTTGAAGACGAGACAAGTGTATCGATAGAGAAAGGAGAATTCGAGAAGAAAGAAGGGTTTGTCTACACTCAACTCAGACCAGCTGGGGTAAGTTCCATGATATTAGTCTACGATGAAATTAGTACGGTAAATGGTAACTGACTTTGGATATTTCAATTAACATACAGGAAAAGAAAAGAAAAGAAAAGAAAAGAAAAGAAAAGAAAAAAATCAATCTAGACTAAGGGAAAATGAAAAGAATAAGCTTATCTACAGTTTCTGTTCTCTTTCTTTTCTTTCTTTTTTCTATCTCTATGGTTTATAAGAAAAGAACACCACTTCATGCTTCATGCACTTTGAAATTGAATATGTAATATTTCAAGACTCCGAAGCTTTCCCGTTCTTTTTATTTTTGATTTCATAAATTTTTCGTTCTGTTCACTAGTTTGGTCAATAAACTTTTAATTTCATTGACATCTTTCTTCTAAAAGGCCACAATGCGCCGATTTGTTAGCAAATATTGCCTTATGTGTTAGAAATTTTAATTTTCAAGAACGAGCGATCACATTAAAGAGGCGTTGCCAGGATTTTGGTTCCTCCGGGGGAGGGTGTAGGGACGTTATTTAGTTCTCTACAGCGTGTGGATGAGTTTATACAGCCGCTTAGTGAACACGATGGATTCAGCGCCTTTTGCAGCATTAGCACACATTTTATTTGCTATCAAGCGCGCTAAATAAAGCTACCAACAGGATGGGTGTGGGTGGG